TTAACCTCTAAATTCAAAGTAAGAACTGTTGTAACTCGGGCTGTCAAATACAAGTAGTGGAATAACACAACACACAAAGACAACAGGAAAAGCTGCAAAGTCAAGGAGACGAGAAAACACTCGCATCGACTCACAAACGCACACCAACACACTTTAGCGAAATCAGCAATGTCAGCAGTGGGTTTGGTGAGAATGGCAGGACAAGCAGCGCTGAGAGCAACTCCCTCTTACCACACAAACACACACACACACACACACACACACACACACACATATACACACACACATCCCCTCAGCCAGCTGCTGAACCTCGGGCCTGTGTGAATACAGAGACAAACAAACAAACGCACACAAACACTTGCATAGATGCACTTCATACACAACTGCTGACACGCAATCACTTTTCACACGTGTGACTGGTTCTGCTCGCTCGTTGCTCTACTGTCATACGTCAGAACCAAAGACAGCCGGCCAATCAAGCGGCAGCTCCTTGCTCATAACCACGGTGACTGCAGTCTGTCCGGCAGCACTCTGGGTGATCAGGTGGAGCTGCACAGCAAAGACCCGACTGGTAATGATTCTGGTAATAAAAGATTTCAATTTCAGAGTTAATCTCTATGTTGCTTCACTAAAACATCACCAACTCTGTTCAGGTAAACAACAGGACCACGATAACCTCACAGTGACCTGTTCAAGTCTCTACTTTGACTATTAAATTCACAGTAAATCACATTTTCTGAGAGCCTTAACCTAAGGAAAGTGGTAGTTGGAGTGAGAATAATTCAATTAAGACTGAGGGGAGGTCTGTGAAATCAGTCTGTGGCTGTGTGACCTCAGCTGTATTGTTTCGTTGTTTGGTTTTAGGCTGCTATATTACATGTGTGAATACCATGAAAAGTTATTTATTTTGATCAATACTGTCTCTGCTGCTTTTGGGTTTCTCTTGCAAAAAAAAAAAGACCTTGATCTCTGTGAGGGTACCTTGTTAAACAAAAGCCATATTTATGGCAAAGTGTGAGAATTTTGTGTCAAAAACTCACAGTATATCCGGAAGTGTTTGAGATTTATCTATTTGTATTCTTTGTTTCATTCATTTGGGCTCATGAGCTGTGATCTGAGATGTCTCAGCATGAGCATTTTGTCACAACAGAGTGTAGCTTTATTAAAAAATAAGGCTTTTAAATACTTAATTTCTCTTACTGCACAAACAAGAAGACAAAAAAGACAACAATCTGAGCCCACCAACACCACAGACTGATATATCTTCTACCTCTGTGCCATTCATTGCTGGAAAAAAAAAAAAAACTACTGAAAAACACATCACTGAGTCACGCCGTTGCACTCGGAGACATGTTCCTTCATTACCATAAAAACTGGCACTATAGACACACTCCAGGACTCACCTTCCAAATGGTGAAGCACATCAAATATGTATTCATCTACAGCTGAAAACTGTCCCAAATAAATGCAGTATTTCCTCTTGTGGCAAAAACCAGCTGTTAAAAATGAAGCTCTATGTTTGTGAGAAGTGCTTTTTTTTTTTAAAAGATGCAGTAGAAACCAGCAGGCTGGTGCGTGAGACAGACAGAGAAGGAAAGTTTTCATGGGATTTGTTAATGCAGCGTAATAGTCATAAGGTCAAACCACGACATGACAGAAAGACGAGATTTGTGGGGATTTACAGTAAAATTACAGAGGAAAAAACCGATGTGACATGGTGGAGAATACATCATCTGTCATTAAAACGCCAGTGAATTTTAATAGGAATACGAGTCTAAGTGATATTCTACAATCAACGTAAGTCTTTATTAGAAGACTGTCCTCTAAGAGTAAAGTACAGATTAGTGTTGCTGTACTTTGTGATGAACTACATACATTTACTAATAAAACTTTAACTAAGTGTTTAAATGCATCCACAGAAAAAGCTCTACTTTTTTAATGATGCATGTTTAATAAATGACAACTGCATGCTGCTCACTACTGAATTAAACATTTAGTGTATGATATATTATATAGAGTTATTCCTTCTCAATTCCTCAGGGGGGCTTCTGCTCGATCTCGGATTAGCTTGAAACTTGTTTTTTTTAAAATCATAAACTAAAGATATTTAAAATGCTATCTGTAAAAGTTTAGTTTGATGTATCAAATATTTTCTGAGTCCAATTTTCAACACGTTTTTTTTTTCTAAATAGAAAATCGGGCTATATTTTATAATGATGTCTCAGAAACTATGAATTGTTTTACTGTTGTTTCTCATCGTACAATTGATTTAGCATCTGCAACAAGCATACAGGCAGATCACGTAATCTCTGATTGTGAGTTGAAAGAGGAAAACAATGTATGCCATTATAAAAAGTCCCATCTGAGAGCACAAATTAACAAAAAAATGATAATACCGAAATCAGCTAGTGATAGTTTATGAATCATATGTAGCTGCACGTCACAATAAAAGAAAACGAAGCATATTAAATACTTTTTGAAATGTTTGGTCACAAAAATGCAAAAACAAGTATTTTCGCCAAACTTTCACGACTGATTGAGCCGATAAGACAAGTTGTACCAGAAAAACACTGGCAGATAGTTTAATCCAAGTCAAGCAGAGTTCTGGAGTTTCACAAAATCACATCTCACAGATATATCAAGCAAAACTTCACAAATATATTAATATCTATAAAAATATTGACAAATCAGAGATGGTCGAGCGGAGATTTTGCGATGCAGCTCTTGTGAACAGGTTGACATGAAGTTTCTTTGTGTGTGTACATGTGTGTGAATGCGCATGTGCACACTCTCCTGTTTGAAGCAGCAGTGAGGGGAGGGCTGGAGCAGTATTAATACAAAAGCAGGGAAAAGGCCCGGCGATGGTTGCCATGGTAAATATGGCCCCCTGTCGCGTGCTAGCAGTCCTCTCCTCCCCTTCCCCCCTTTTTCTGTTCCACTGCTCTCTGCTTTTCCTTTCGATGCCTGGTTTTCCTCTCTTATTCTGCTCTAAATGACTTCCGTTCCCTCCTTCTGTCATCAAACCTCCTGCTTCCTTCTCTCCTTTTTCCTCCCTTGTTTCACGCTCCTTCCTTCCCTCCCCCCTCCTCTCTCCTCTCATTCCCTTCCCCATCTTTCCTTCACGCCACGCTGGCCTTTCCTTTGGGCTCCAGACAGAGCCAGCGACCTTCAGTGCATCTCTGCAGCATTGGACAGACACAACATCTCCACCGCTGCCGCCGTCGTGGCCCAAAATCACCACATTCCCAAAGGTTAGGTAAGCCTTAAAAGTGAGGTGATAGAACTGATGCAGTGTCAGTGTGCACCATTAATCACCATCACCATCAATTCCCTCTGGATGCCAACATTCATCAGCATCTACATCCTCACACTGCACACAGTTTTGTTTTTTCTTAACATCAAAGCAAGTATATTGACACGTACTGCGTTTATTGTAATTCACTATGCTGTTGTCTTAATTAACCAGTCACCCCGATGTGAAGGACAGGAGCTGATAGATAATTGATTGATTGATGATCTTCCTCCAACTCTGTCACTGTAGCACAGGGGAAACAATACCCAAGAGAAGACTTTATTTCAGTATCGCTGTGTCATGGTATCTTGAGGTCACTTCTGACCTTAGAAACATGCAGTATTTTTAGGCTTTAGTGGACCGGTTGACCACAGAAGGCCACAAAATATAGTCAAAAGCTCTGGGAAAGGTAGTAAGAGAACTACGAGTACAGCATGCTTTGATGCTTCTGCGCAATCATACGAGAAAAAAATAATAAACATGTAAGATTAATTCCTCATAATACAGATGATCGCACTCAATTTTCAGTGTATTTTTAAAAAAAGTGAAGGTTAGAACTGAGTTGTAACTATTAGTCGATGAATTAATGAATTAGTTAACATCTTTAGACTACTGACATAAAGATCTTTTACTTTTAAACTCACTTTGAGTGCCTGGACATGGATTTTTTACAGCCATTTTTGTTTTGGTTATAAAGCTTCTGCCCTCCTTAATCTAGATTAAAATCAATTATTAAAAAATTAATTGGTGACTATTCTGGTAATTGATTAATCGTTGAAGTCCTTTTTTTTTTTTTGAGCAACAAAGCCAACAATGTTGTAGTTCTCGATTTGCAGCATAAGATTATTTAAAGCTGAATATCTCTGGGTTTTGGTCGGACAAAGGAAAGCATCCTCATACGTAATCTCGGGCTTGATGGTCATTGTTCAGTTTTTCTGACATTTTTAAGGATAAAACATTTCATTGAGAAAATAATCAATACTAACATTAGTCACTCATCACAGCTTCAGGTTAATGAGTTTAATAGGCTTGCTTCCAGAGCGCCGGCTTGATCTTTGCTTTGTGTAACAGCAGGAGTACTGAGGTGAAGTCACAAAATGTACTAAATACTACAGTGATGTAAAGGTCTCTAGGAGCCTTACATCACTCCTCTCCTCAGACCACACGGGAAGACAACAGCGCTGAGAACTTACATCAATGAAAACATGCACACAAGTGCTAAAACATGAAGCTCATGACCCTGATTTTATTTATTTATGGCATTTTTTTTACACACTTACACAACACAGCTCCACATCAACAAATGAAAGGGCGATGAAGCAGGAAAGAAAGGTTGTGTAAAAGCCTGAAATTGGCATGGCAACAATAAGAGAAAAAGTGCCAATTTACATGCTGACATTTCTCTGTAATGGCTGATAAATGGCCAAGCTGGGTTAAGTCATGCACTCTTAGTCAAAACCTTTATTATTCCCAAAATCTCAGCACTCTTATCATCATGTATTTGTGCGCTCCTGCAGCACCAGTTTTTATTTCACCTGCCTGTGCACAGGAGCAGCCCAGCACCTGCAGGAGCAACCACAGGCTGCTGGATGTGTGAACCCAGTGAACCGGAACGAACAATGGTGTCAGCAGTACTTGAAGGCTGCCGAGGTCTTTCTCTGTGTGTTTATTGTGTGTGTGTGTGTATGGGGGGGAAGAACTCGCTCACCTGTCAGGCTGTCGTAGCACTCGATCTCGGTGCTCTCCACGGCTCTCCGCTGCTCCTCGGTCAGCTTGGCCGCGGCTTGACTCAGCAGGTTGACCTCGGAGCCCGTCGTCCCGTCGACAACATGCACCCCTTTGAGCTGCAGCAGCGCCCGGTGGTACTTGCCTATCGCTTCCCGAAATTTCTTCTCTTTGTAGCATCGGTGACCCTCCGCCTTGAAGTCGATGGCTTTCTGGATCTTCGTCTCCATCTCCATTTCAGCGGAGCCGGCTCGATACCCTCCTCCGCCGCCTCCTCCTCCTCCACCACCACCACCACCACCGCCGCCGCCTCCTCCTCCGTCTCCTCCGGCGGCCGCTGCCAGACTCCGGCCGCCGGTCTCCGGGTAGCTTTTCAGGCTCTTTATCGGGTGTTGCTTGGCTTCCATGTCTCTCAGTGAAAGCGGCTGGAGCGGGCCATGGTGCTCGGACACGAAGGTGTGTTTTGTTGGGGAGGACCGGAGCAGCGTGCTGTGCATAAAGGATGCGGGAATGGAGCGGCAGAGACGGCGGGGCAAGGCGGCGGCACCGGAGAGAGGACGAGCCTCGGGAAAGAAAAACAGCCAAAGAAAAAACGGCGTCTCCGGTTCGTAGCTGATTGAATTAGTTTAAAGAATCGTCGCGGTTAAAAAACACATCGAGGAGCTCGGAGCTGCTGACAGAAAACATCCTGAATTTCCACACCGTCGGAGGAGAAAAACAGATTCCTGGTTGTGGAGCTCTCGCGGAAGGATGCTCGGGTGGATCTCTATGGTAGCAGCCTGAGAGGCACGCGCAGCATCAGCACCACAGACAGCGCACACACACGACAACCCCTGCCGCGCGGCATTGTGGGTAAAAAAAAAAAAAGAGGAGTCGTGAGGCGTTGCTGCAGTCGAGATTTTTACAAGGCAGAAAAAGGCGAAAAAACATTGTTTAAAAAAAAAAAAGCCCCAAACACGATCGATCAAGAACATGTTGTACTTTAAAATATTAAATATAAGAATCACAAAATATATTTCTCAATAAATAGCATTTGCATATTTATTGGACTAATAAGGAAAGGTTACGCCCTGACACCAGTCCCCTTTAGAAGCTCTTTATTACATTTTTTTATTTTTATTTTCATCTCAAATGATTAACATCTTTATGGGAGATTGCGGATTACGTCACTCCTGTTGTTTGGAGATGAACAGTCTTCACAGTGGAAAAACAGGCAGATCAGGTTAATTCAGCTTTTACTTTACTCACAGCCCCTCCGTAAACATCACTACAGCCAAATCGGAGCCTGATGACTTCAGCTGATAAGGTTTTCAAGGAGAAGGAGACAGACAGCAGGAGGCTGCAGGACCAGAGGAGGACAGGAAGGAGGTGGACAGCGACCTCAAGGGGACAAACCGTCAATTACACTCATTTTCAGGAGATGTGTGTTTTACCTGAAGCCCACCTGCCAGCAGCATCATCCCCTTTCTGAGCTTTGGGGGCGTCATTTATTGTAGATTTATTAGCTGCCTGCCATCTCTGATGTGTAAATCAATCTGGTTAATAGGCAGCAGAGGGATGCTTCACATTAGAGTTACTCAGTGCCCTCATAAGCATTTCCTGTCAACGGCAGGCAAAAAAAATGTAGATTAGTATTTTTGTTATTAGCTTTAGGAGGAGGGATGGGTGGGGAGAGAGGCCGAGATTTCATAGATCTGCTCATTCTAAAGAAAACAACAGTGCAGAGTTACAGTTATGCCATTTTAAGTTAGGACAGGATGAGTTTCTGGGGTCATCAAAAGCTTTAGTGGACTTCAGCAGGAACCACTGTCTACTTGTTACCACTCATGACAACAATTGCAACCAGTTAAGCAGAAAAAGTATTTTTCTCTGCAGCAGACCCTTGAAGCATTGTCAAGGTAAAGGGTCTAAAGAAGGATGGGGAAATCCTGGAGGACAACCCGATGCAGTCTGCACGACAACTGCACCTTGGAAGGAGATTTGTTTTCCAGCATGACCCGAAGCATACAGCCAAAACTCCACAGGAGCGGTTTAAAGACAACAAAGTGAATGTTTTGGAGTGGAAGAGTCTGAGCTCAGACCTCCATCCAGTTAATGATTTCTGGCTATACTTGAAAAGGGCTGTTACCTGACAAAGCCTGAGAAACCTGACAGAGCTTAAGCAGTTCTGTAAAAAAGAATGGATATGCAAGGCTGATAGAGATCTATTCACACAGGCTTAATGCTGTAACTGCACTCAAAGGTACATCGACTAAATACTGACTTGAAAGTGGTAAATATTTAAGCAGTTACTGAATTTACTTGGAAAAAAAAAAAAGGCATTACTTTGTAGAAATCTGTTTATGCTTTGATATGAGTCTTATTCTGTAAATTCTTGTCCAAAAAAGCAAAATTAAATTGACTGAAAAGCAATAGAAAGGGTAAACTACCAAAAAGGGGGAATGCCTCTCATAGGCACTGAATTTAAGTATGCCATTACATTGAGAGAATTTTATGTTAAGGCTTTTTCTGAATGTTGCTCTCTGAAGAGTTGCTACAAACAAATAATAGGTACTATCATTTTAAAAAACTGAAAATGTGTGATTAAAAAAATGTACATTTGTAGCCACAAATGAGGATGCAGTGGTTTAGATGTTTGTGTTCTATGTAGAGGCATCTTCTGATCAAACATCATGAACATAACACTGAACCGCAGTCCAACTGACATCATGCAGCAGCAGTCACATGGATAGAGTGGGCGTTTTATAGGTTTATTGATATATTAACTGCTTAATGTTCTTGTAGGAATAGGGATATTGACTTTGCTGTCACTTTGATACTTAAACAAGTGCAAAGTACAGTCTGTGTCACTGGCATGCATTGTGATGTCTCCTTTGCAGAAAGAAAGAAAGAAAGAACGAACAGTTTGGACCCTTTTTCTCATTTAATTATTTTTCCAAGCATATTTTTTTCAAATTCAGATTTTTTTTTTTCCTCGATACGTTTAAAAAAAAAAAATCATGACAGTTACCGGTGTGTTTGGTTCTACTTGGTTTCTTGATAAAAATTCCTTAATGTGATTTTAAACATTTTAAAATATTTACAGTGTAACAAAGTTCTGGTGTGAAGTCTGACAGACCAAAACAGTACACAGGTGTGAATGAGCCACATTTGGGTTAGGGTGAATTACCTACTGGAGCTACAGTAGTGGCCCCCTGACACCAGGCCCGATGGCATCTCTGAGTTTCTTTACTTGGATATATGATACAAGAATGCCCACATAGAAAAATATGCAGCAGAACAGGTTCTGTGCTGTGTGAAATCAACTCTAACAAATCTATACATTGCATTTCAAAATAAACAATATTCTACTGATCCGGCTTTCAAGTAGGTGGTTATAGAAAATGTTCAGTACTATGGTAGAAAAGTTGACTTAAGCTCAGAGGTGTGAACTTCTACTCCACAAAGCGCAGAAGAAGAGGAGGAGGTGCGGTGCTTTTTCTAGATTCAAGTGTTCGACGAGGTTGTTCTGTGTAACCACTTAGAATTCCGTTTTTCTTTTTTTTTTGCTTACAAGTCCAGGAACAAAGCTCAAGAGCCTTTCATCAACACTTTTACAAATTTCCTACTTTCAAAACAAGATATAGGAGGTAATTTTCAGGTGAAGGTAACAAGAATAGAAAGACTTAACTGTTACTTCATGGCTAGTCATGTGTCTGACTGCTGTCCTGTGTATTTAACTTATGAGGGGGAAAAAAAACCTGTACATTTTACTTAGAAGTTTTTTAAGAAATATTTAACATTCAGGCAAATATCAACAAAATAGTCACATCATTCATCTTGGAGAAGTTAACGCTTCCTATAGCTCAAGTGTATTCACTCAGGAGAAATCTCAAAACGGGAAGTTTAGGCAGCAGCATCCTTATATGTGGAGTTATGGGGTAAAATTAAAAGCGCCACCGTGGCAGCTTGGTTGACGTCATGCTCATGCCTTAAGCTCACAAATATAGTCAAATACATATTTCTAAAGCTCAATAAATGGCAGATATGATCAAGACACGATAAATAACTCGGTGGAGCAACATAATACACGTGTCGTCAAATGAAAAGCTTGGACACGAGACGAGGGTGATTTTTCAATGGCAGCATCATCCGTTCCCAGTAACTCCAAAGCCGCATTTGAAGTGTCCATACACTCAGGCTAAACAAAAAGTTAATAATAATAATCTGCAGTCCTGCACGTAGCAAGACAAATGCAAAAAGGTGGCGATAGAAATTCTTAAAAGAATGTTTTGAAAGAGTCTGATGTATGATTGGGGGAGTGTGTTAGGTTCTCTTGCTGCCCAGTCTCTTAAAAACACTGATGGCCCTAACGTCCATCTGGGCTCCCCCAGACTCTCCTCCTGCTGCTGCTGCTGCTGCTGCCGCCGCCGCTGCTGCTGCTGCTCCCCCGGCCCCGGTGCTGCTGCTGACCTTAGGGTTTGCTACAGTCGACCTCTCCGGGGCTCTGGGTCTGGTGCTGGTCACCCTGTTGTCCTGTGTGTCAGCGGGGGAAGGCGACACAACAGTGTTTGTGTTGGGAAGCTTGCCCAGTCTCTGAAGAACACTAATCTTGGCAGGAGGAAGGCCATTTGGGGAAGAAGAGGAGGAAGTGGGAGTATCTGAGGGAGGTAGTTTGAATTTGCCTCCCAGGCGCCGCAGGGTGGTCGGGGCTGCTTTCGTGGCCAGTTCTTTCTTCTGGGATGGAGGAGGCCTCTTGAGGACACCAGCATACTGCAGGACAGATCCTTCTCCGTCACTGTCGTCCTCGTCATCTACGTCCATGTTTCCAGTCATGTTTCCTGGTCTCGGTTTGTCTTCACCTTCATCCCCTGTGTCGAGGCGACTGAACACACCGGTAGGCTGCCAAAACATGAGCATTATAAGCTCGGAACTAATCTTTATTATACAAACCAAGCTATTAAGATATAATGACAAGATTTACCTTGTTATTGCTTGTTGTTGTGTCTACCTTTGATTCAGCTCCAAGTCTTGCAAACACAGAGGTGCGCTTCAAACCTTTTTAGGTAGAGGAGCAATAAAGAGTGTTAATGTGATGTGTGATTAGCAATGGGGAAATAATCAGCTCAGAAGTAAACAAAAAAACTAAACATACAAGATGATGAAAGGTGAAGAAAACCCTAATATCACTGTGTTTGTGCGAGTTGTTAAAGTAATACTTGGTTAATGTTTGCAAACTTTCTATACGTTCATGTTTGTCTTTGACTCACTTATTAAGTTTAATTAGCAGAAGCTTTGCTAAAAGTCTGACATAAGTATTAAATGTAAACCTCTCAATAACCAAAAATATGTTGGGTAATTCAAAAATAGTGTTATAGGACTGGTCTAGGTGGTCAAATATTTCTTTAATTATCATAAACACAAATGCAGCAGAGAAGTGTAAGACAGGCAACTATAATATAGTTTATTTAAATGTAAACTTCTGTCATTTTCTTCCAACTTGTTTTTGTCTTTCTTATTAAATGTCTGAACTTATAAAAACATGTTTCAAAAAACGTTTTATGGTCTACATTGTGTTAAAGCTCCACATCAGTAATTCTCCCAGCTCTCCCAACAAAGTGTTATTAAATTGGCTCGAAAATTGTGCAATACTACAGTTGCTAGTCTTGATGTTGTACTATTTCACAAAATTTTAACTTAAAGTCTTACTTACATGAGTTATTCTTACTTAACTTGCACTCACCGTACACCACTGTGTACATTAAGAGTGGAGTATTGTTCTAAGTGTAAGTTCAGTGTGCAGCTAACAAATATTTGCTATGTATCTGTGTCGTTTCATTTGTGATTCATGTATAACTCTGCTGCTATTTCCCACAAGGAGTGATTAAGTAAAGTACTCAACCTCTCTATTGACCATCATCAAATGAACCAGCTGCCAGAATTTGACCATAAGAATTAGATTTTTAAACAAGCATGTACGAATAAAATATGAAACATATAGCACATCTGTATTTTGTTGTTTTAAATGTTTATACATATTCTATCTTGAAAAAACTTGCTTTTGATTTAAAACATCTGATTAAAGAGCCTTGTAATCAAATCAAATAGAACTGTTTTATGTTCAGCTGAACTATTTTAAATTTTTTGTTTTGATAAAACTAACTTAAAGTTCTGATTGTTTAGCCTGGCAAGGAGAGAGTAAATGGGTTAGAAGTTACATTTTCCTTAATAAAAATGAGAGAAAATATCTTGAAAGAGATCAACAGCTTTGTAGCTCCTTTTACAGCCAGAACCCAACACGCATGCCAGAAAGGAAAGATTTTACAAGCAGATCACATCTGATTGATGTGAGACAAACAAACAAAAAAAACGCCACAGCTTGACAGAGGGAATGATTGTGGGCACAGTGGAAGTATTAGTAAGGACAAGGGACTGAATTACAAAAGCACAGAGGGTGAAAGTCAAGCAGGCCCTGTTTATCAGCATCGAATCACCGTTTTCTGATTTACTGAAAGGGACTTTTAGTATGGACTAGTTGTGGTGAGTACCAGCGTTAGTAGAGCGAGCTGCCGGCAAGGCCACTGGGTCAGGCCTACCTTTCTTGGCCTGCTGGGCCAGGATTCGGCGTGTACGAGGCGTGGTGCCCTTTGGCATGTTGATGATGTACTTGCCTTCCATCTCAGCTGTCACTCGCCGGCGCTTCACTGCTGGCAAACCGTTCCCCTCGTCAGCTGGCTGACTTACAACTGACAACAAAGTTGGTAGGTACACGAGGATTAAACACGGGTGAAAAGTTGGCAGATGTGGATTCAGAGGAACAGGAAATAGAGGACTGACGGGGTAAAAGAAACTTTCCATGCAATATACCTGCTTTGTTACTCTTGTTTCCCTGCATGTTGGACACTGTGACAGACAGGCGGTTGTCAGGTCGACGGGCTGGGGTGGCCGGTGGGGATTCATGGCTCAAAGCATTGGCAATCATACGAGTAGCGGCTGAGAAAAAGACAGAAGCATTCTTAAGTAGCCGTAATTTAGCTTGTTTCTTAGAAAACGCTTCATCTTCTGGACCAAAGATGAGATTGAGGAGAACTGGACTTGATAGGTCTTGTACAACCCGACATCGGGGTCTGTTCTGTGGGTTGTTTCACAAAGACAGACTTTGACAATGGATTACATCTTTAGACTGATATCTACATTTATCTGTTGCACAAAGGTGTTTACTTTTTCCCAGCCTTAAGCATGATGACTTTTTGATTAATTCTCAACAATTTAGGACATTTTTCAAACAAAAAAACATTGCTAAAGATGCCACAGCTCCAAACTGTTTGGCTATTGATAAGTTTCCATTTCTTTTCGTGAACAATGTCAATCAGTGTTCCAAGATGATGTCCGAAAATGTATTTTTTTTTCAACCCAAAGATATTCTGTCTACTGCTGCAGAGGAGTAGAAACACCAGGAAATATTTAAATGTAAAGCCGGAATCAGAGGATTTAAAACTTTTTTCCTAAAAAAAGACTAGAACCGATGAATTGATGATGAGACGAGTTGGCAATAAATTGAATAGTTGACAATTAATCACTAAATCGCTGCAGCCCTACTTTCTGGAAAAAATAACCAGTTTTAAGGATGTTTTAGTGACTGAATTAAAATCTGAGAATGTAACAATAAAAAAGAAAAAAGTAAAATAACATCATCGTTATCAGCAGCATTTAAAACATCAAGAGCAAACCAAGAAAATGTACCTTTGCAAGATGCAAAAGAAGAAATTTTAAAAAGAAAAAAAAAATCCTACAAATGGAGAGGAACCACTGTAAACACTTCATGGCACGACATAAATTGTGTTTGGAGATGGGAAACACTACTTCAAGTCATTCAGGGAACAGATGGTAAACATCTTACACTATCTATGTAAAATTGTACAACATAAACCTCACTAATAAAAGAGAAAACGCTAGCCGGCTCTAACACTATGGACAAGTCTAAAACATCTTTGTGAAACTGGTCCTTAGTCAGACTAGATTAAGCCGATTTACTCGTCTGGAAACAAGAACTCTTTGACATGACGTGCACCATGACATTACAAAGACAAAAATATCCAGAATAAATCTTACTGCGTACAGCTTTAGCCTCTGTTAGACTATATCTTAAAGTAAGATTAGGAGAGAACACACAAAAGGAGTCCAAACCTTCATAAGCTATGACTAAGCTATGACATCAATCATATTTCTGCAGCCTTCTTTGTTCTGCTGTCTGTGGCTTCTCAAAACACACAAACATCTTTTTCATGCCATGCAGTCTTCAACTAGATAGATATTAACCAAGAAACTGAGGGGCACAATATTCTGCAGGATTTCAGGAAAAATGCTTTCTAGGAGAATCAGACGACCCCAAAAACTGTCCTGTGAAAATACAAGTTTACTGCTGCGGGTGGGGCAGGTCCTCCATTTCTATAGTCTTTTTTCAAAATGTAATATTGAAGTTCAGTGTCTCTAATCATTATACGCACCACCACAAATAGTCAGAAGCAACAGCAATGTGACAAGACAAAATGGTAAAAAGGTCACTGGGGGAAATCAGTTTGGTGCACCGACCCTGATGGCTGAAATTAAGTATGAATCTGAAAACAGAAAGCAGTTTCTGTGTTTATATGGAGCCTTTAATTGCAGAATAAGTCAAATGAAACAACCACGATTACCCATTAACAATTTTTTCTTGGCTTGAACAACAACTTTAACTGCTAAACCTCATCCACTTTCAGCAATTCTGAATCATAGCAGGTGTCATGAGTGGTTTAGGTTCACCTGCATAATTACTGCAGACATATCACATTATGATACAACTTATGATTCATATTGCTTCTGACTGGACTGATTAACGGGTCACACTGTGGTGTCACTCCAGTAAAGCCATTTAGTAGATTGGGTGACTTAAGGACAAACAAAAAATCAAGAAGAAGTACAAATCCTTTGTCAAATACTTTGAACTAAATTTTACTTGAAATCTAAATAAAAGGTAAATACTATTTTAATCATGGTTCACAACATGTTTTATCCAGGAAAGAATTGCAACTTACGAGTATTGGCGGTTCTTCTGAGCTCAGCTTGAACACTGGTCTGTCCTGAGGAGATGGCTTCTGTTGCCATTTTACACATGTCCTGAAGATGAGATGGCAAGAATACATATAAGAGGTATGTCAAATTTGTAGTTTACAACTACGTAATTGACCATAAGTCAACAAATTTAAAACATCTTTGTCTGTTACTGCATTCACCTGCAGCAACAGAGACAATTTCACATTTTAAAAAAATCTCTCTGAAAAGACCCCTTTACAACACTGACCAACTAAGAATTCGGTCAGTTGAGACACAAATATTTATTTTCCACTGTATTAATGGCAAATCATTCAAGAAGACATTTGTATTGGCAGCTGCAGATGGTTTTTGAGCCAGTGATTCATGATTATAAACCTTTTATAATACAGCCACACCTGGAATTTAAAATGTAAGCCATCCTAAATTGTACATGCAACAAGATGGAGCTATTTAAAATGTGCACACCTTTATGTTTGATGTTTGTGCCAGCTCAAATTAAAAATATGAACAGTGACTCATTTGTATTTTTAACATTCCATAACTGGCCTCACCTGCCTGTAGACCTGCTTGGCATGTTTGAGAATAGCAATGATGTCGCCAATGACCGTGATGCCGAGATCCATCATGATGTCTTTACTGAGGTCCATCAGCATGTTCTTCTGAATTCTGCAGTGGCAAAAACAAGAAGAACAAAATCTTAGAGAGACGACGCAATACATATGATCACAGTATAGCTGTGTGTATAATGTATAAGTGTACAACATTAGGCCTATAAAATAGAGGTTGTACGTTACCTATTGTCCACGAAGGAAACTGCATAAGTGACAGCGAGGCCGGCTGGGATCCCTGCATCCTTAAAAAACTGAATCCACTCTGAGGTGGCTTCAAGAAAGAGTTGAAGGAGAGTCAATGAAATACAATTTCACTAAACAGAAAAATATGGTAACTACTGTCGCTACTAATGGCTATTTTGCTTTGTGGTTATTTGTTGCTTAGTCTACAGTTCCAGAAAAAACACATCACTATTTATAAGCCTAAAAGTATACCCTCAGTTTGCTTTACTTTTGACTAACAGACCAAAAGCCCAGAGTTTTAAGTTTACAAAAAAATAAATAAACAAACACACACACACACACAAGCTTGAAACCAGCAAACAAAAGCAAAAACTACTGATTGACCAATCAATAATCTTCATGGTGTTTGTGAGCATGATAATTAGGGCTAACCAATGAACTGACTGAAACAATACAGTTAGCAGATCACAAGTGTTGGAATTCAGTTACCATTAGATTCTAGTCAGTCTGGTTTGACTGACATAAGCCAGTCTTGTTATTTATTACCTACACCTATATATTTTGCAGAATGTCAGGGTTTAAACTGTTGAAAGTGGTTTGCAAATTCAAGCTATTCTACTTGTGAGACTGATGCAACTTGGACAGTGTCTCACGTGATAATTCTCCATGATATGTTTCAAATCTATGTCACAGTGAATTTATATGTGCGATTTAAATGCACTTGATCTGACTCACCAACGATTACTTTTGCCCTTGCTTGTCAGAATACTAACAGTAAATTGGTGTCTTAGAAGCAAGCATCGTACAGTTACGCAGTCGACGATTGTTATACAACAGACTACAGTGGGAGAGGGCCCTGACTAAAAGCCCCAGTGGGAGACATAAAGCTGAGGAGACAGCAGCATGGTGAGGACTAACACATGCTGACCATGACCAGCTGGAGGTTATTTATAACAGCAATTATGAACCGTCTTGTGGCTGCAGTAACAGATACAGGGTGAAGGGAGCTGCCAGAGCAGCTGCCAGAACAATGGCTGTCCAACGTGCTCTGGTGAACTCAGAGATTCACACGGCGGCTAAACTGCCATTTAACACATAAACGAGTCAGGACCATAAATGATAGCCGAATAGATGCTGAGAAAATCTGAGATTCAAACCTGATATAGATTCGGTGCTGGATGGCTAACGTTAGCATCGCCAATTTAACCCAGTCACACATTAAACTAACCAGCGACTCAGCCTGCATTTCTATCCTGAACGCAGAAGATGAAATAACACAATAAAGGCAGCTAAAAAAGAGCCATTAGTGTTAGCATTCTGTGTTAGCATTGTCTTGGCGGCATTCTCAGCCGTGAGTTAAAAGGCGCTGTCGGCCAGCTGAGGCAACGGCTATCAACACTACCGGCCGGAAAAATTCAAGACAGTGTTTAAAATTGACGCAGTGGTCGTATTTAAAACAAAACTGCCAAAATGCTTGAAAGATTGCCGAGTGTTACCGTCGCCCCGCCGGGCCTTTCTGTTCTCACCTGTTGTCACGGACGCCATGTTTACAACAAACGTGTGGTGACGTCAGCCGCATCCGGAAAACTCGCGACGGCTTCCGTGACGTAACATCCGGCAGACGCACGAAAAAGAATAAATAAATAAATAAAAAAAACCGAAAGTTATGTTTGCGGCCGCTAGAGAGCGACACAGACCGCCGACTATCAAAAAACAGCTTCTGATTAGGAAGTTAAGGGAAAAGATGAAGGAAACTTAGTTTAAGTAGCTTCTTAAACAAATTACCCGTTTTTATTTGTTTTTCTTTTTTTTTTTTAGATATTTCAGCGATGTAAAGGTAAACCCTTGCTATCAAATCTTGAAAAAACTTTTCTTCTGTACTAGATTGTACATGAGAAAATAGGCTGGTTTCTTATTTCTTTATCCCTTTTATTCTGAACCACATTAAACCACGTCTACATCTAAAACCACTATATAGACAGGAGAGCACTGCCGTCACAGAATAAAAAATCTTTTAAAGTTACAATTTCTGTGGTTTTAAATACGGACTTGGTTTGCTGTGGTCCAGATGCAGGACCACAGCTGTTTTCCCTTTTTGCATTTTCACAAATAGTGTTTGTTGTTCTGTACATCTTCTTACACGTGAAAACTTTACCGTCTAGACTTTACCCATCTATATTTAGTGTTTACAGATGTGGACTTGGTCTAATGTAGCGTGGATGCAGAAAACACACAGAAATCTCATTCTTTGAGAAAGAAGAATAAATGTTTCACAAATTTGACAGTAGGTTTCCCACAGCGTTAAAGTTGACCCAAAATGTCTAACTTGGTTAACTTAATAAAATGTGCAGGAAAAAAAAAATAATGTAAGTTTCCCTTAACTTTTCCCTTAACCCGCCGAATCAGATGCCACGAACCGGAAGTTAACTTTTGCGTCGTTTCAGCAAAATTACTCTCAATTGGAATTTTTCCAGCACCCGCGAGTTTCAAACTTGCTACAACTTTCTATCTGTGTCCATGTGGAGTCGTATTTCTGAACACCTGATGAACGTAAGTCCAGTGTTTATTCTGCATGTGGTGTTTCTTTAGTCTTTATCTGCTTTTGAGTGAGATATATGGCTAGTTAGCTGCTAAACGTGTCTCCGTTTTAGCCTGCTGCTGTTAGCTTTATGCTAAAAACAGCTGCTTGCTTTGGGTGAAAGCTACAGTTGATGTCAGACTGTGAAAACAGTGAAGTGAAACTCAATCGTTGACGTCAACACAACGACCTCTTTTTCTATGGTCCATTTTTTTAAACGTAAAAGCCACTTTAACATTTAAATTAAACGTTTTTGTAAATGTGCTTCTTTTTTATAATTCGTTTATTATACAGTTCATATCCCTTACTTTTGAGCCTTGTCAAATTCCCCTCTTGCATAGTGTTAGTTTCTAAATATCTTGCTTTGTTGTTTCCTGTCCTGCTTTCCCCACATTTTGACGTACAGGGCTTTTATTAACATGCAAAATATCTGTCAAACAGTAAATCATGACTTTAAACACTCAGCTTCATATCTGACAGATAAAAAAAACTATCAACAGCTTTAAGTGATTCAACCATTTTTAAAAGAAAAAGAAAGCCCAATACTATCTGGTTCTATCATGTTAAATGTGAGAATTTTGCTGTCTTTCTCTATTTTATATGTCTGTAAATCAAATTGGCTAGAGAGTCAAATGCATGGCAAGGTATCTGATAAGGCTGCTTTGATCTCTGGATAATTTTGATGGGTGTTTTCCTTTTCCTAAACATTTACAGAATGCATAAAAATAATAATCACATTAAAAGGCAATGAAAATAGCACATACAATAATTGCAGTTCAAAGAAATATACATACAGAAACAGTTTGTAGGTCTTTGCTCAACTCCCTCAGCCTCAACTTAAGTAACAAAGATGACAATGGACTTTTTAATACACTTATGCAGAGGTCAGCGAAACATTTAAAAACGAGAAGCATGTACCTTATAATATGCTGTTTATTTATGTAATTCTTCACAAATTGAAAATAAATGGCATTTGGTCATTAAAGGAGACAGCTCACCCAGCTTTTGCAGTCTAGAAATTGAGAAACATCTTCATCATGTAAACTTTATAGGTTAGCAAAAAGGGCCAGAGGCTGAAATATGGACACAGAACAGAGAGCAGGGACTGCAAAAGCAACATGGCAGATATGTCATACACTTTGGTCCTCTGTAAGATTAGAAACAAATGAGAAGGAAATTATAAAAATAAGTAAACAGTACTTTATACTGATATGCAGAAAACAATTCAGTTGCATTAACTTATATGCACTGAAAAATAGAATTTCACATCAGAGCACCTTCATTAGCAAGTTATGTAACTATCCACGGGCCCGTAATGACATCTTTCTTTGATTTTCTTTGGGCCTTTTATTTGTGTAAGTGTTCATATCTCTATCTATCGTGTATGAAATGGGTTCCAGATGTGACAAAATTGTCAGCATTGCTCCCAAAAATGAAAATACAGAGTCAGAAATGATGAAACATTGATGAAAGAAATGGACTGTAACAACAACAAACAAACAGCTTTCTGAAATGGAGGAGCCTTACTAGTTTCTGTGCATCTTCAGTAAATGAAAAATAAAAGCAGGTATTTTCTAGATATATTTCTTCATGAAGATTGTCTCAAAACTAGAAGTTACTTCAAATATTAAGGATAACTTTTAATACTGTAACAAAAGGCGATAATTCAAGCAATACATCATCACACTTGACATATAGTAGCAGTCAGTTTGATCACTGCATGATTTGCTACATTATGTTCATCCAAGAGGATAATAAGTATTGCATTTCATAACAGGGATAATATGAAATCAGAGTGCATGTGGGACTTGTGGAAAAATAGAAATACATAACAACATTCACCTCATCATAGAAAAATAGGAAAGCTCTTGTTCAGTTCACGCTATCATAGCCATTGTACAGTACAGGTAGGTGCAGGCATGTTCTCTGTCTTATAACTGGTAGCGGAATGTTTCATATTTACCTTCTATGTCACCTTTTCCAATTAGCAACCCATTTATGATTGTACCCTTCCAAATATATAAAGCAAATTCCGACAATTTTAATTAAATCCAAAGCAAAGAAATTAGATGAGAGAATGAGTCTAATGTGTTGTGTGGTGATCAGGGGCGTAAGTGTGGAGTGCAGGTACAGTACAAGGGCCCTCTGAGATCTGTTTATCACACTTATTGATGTAGCAGATGATTGATATTAAACCACGGTGAAAACACAGAGTGATTACTGAGCTCTCAGAGCTTCAGCTGCTGGAAATTTACTGTTATTGGCTTCCATTCAGAATAAAACACCCTGATGGGACCAGCGTTTTCATTCGTCTGTAGCCTCAGCAATGGCAATGTGTAACCTCCCACCATTCAACGTGAAACTGCCTCATCATTGTAATATAAGTAGCACCACAAAAACCTATATACATGAGAACTATTGAATATGTTTTATGCTTATTCTGACACCAGAACATATTCTCATCACATTTGCATTTGGAGAGAAATCAAAAGGCATCTCCAACATCTGTACAAACACAGTCCTTTTAAATTCAACATTTAAAAAATAATGAGGTCTGCCCATTTTCTGACCACCAAGAGCCACATTTGAACAAACAGTTGTACCATTATTCTAGCCATTGTTTTTGATTAAACGTGTTTATTTGTTGAAAATAAAGCTTTTTATCCAGCAAATACAATCACAAGATTTTTTTAAAATCTCAGTTAGACAATATATTTCTTTGAATACAAGAATAGATTACATACTATAACATGATAATTTCCATCAATCAAGGCCCAAACTGTGGTTCTCCTTCAAACACATATTTCTGCAAATATCAATGTTATTGAATGGTACTGGACAGGTTATACTTGACATTCAATCACACTAGTTTTAAGGATCAAGTGGCATAAAGGTGTCAGTAGCTTTGGGACAGACCTCACAGAGAAAAAAACAAACAAAACAAAGGCGTTACCACAACCTTCTAACATCATCATTATAAACACACATTTAATGTAACTTGTATAGTGCTTTATATTGTTTATAAAACATAAATACACATTGACAGAGGCAGTGACATCGTGCTTCATGTTAAAGGACAGGGCAGTACTTTAAATTTATTATTGTTTTTTTTTTTTGTTGTTCCTTTAGAAAAATATTCATTTTAACATTTTATCTTGCTCTTCATTGACAAAAATATCCCATTTAGATCTGCAGACATTCATACTTTACAATCATGGTACATACACTTATATATACATGTTACCTGTATATATGTATGTATATAGACTTATAATTAGATTTTTTTTTTTTTTGTAGTGCACAACATGCCTCCAAAGTTGCCAAATGAAAATACAATAAAATAATGAAACAATAGTTACAAAGCAATAATAATAGTAACAGTTATGTGGAAATCTCCCGATTAAAACAAAACAAAACGAAACAAACAAACAAAAAACAAGAAACGGCAACAGTACAAGAGAAAGCAGAGGTCAATGCAAAACAATGAAATGCACAAACAAACATAAACATTAAAATATATAACGGTTCTCATTCAAACATACAGGGAAAACAAATTTTACAAATTCACAGGCGAAGAAAGGACGCTCACTTACAACATCAGCCCACATGACCTCCCCTTTTGTTTCGCGGGTCTTGCTTTGTGCTCACTCCCCTCATCAACCTCAATAAAGAAAGAAATAAACGGGCCAGGTGCCTCAGAGTGGACGCACTCACAATAAACGCACCCCCACCTCGTCTCTGCTGAGAGAACAGGGGAGGTACAGAGACCGCTGAGCCCAAATGTTTAGAGGTTGTCTGAATCACTACAAAAAAACGTCTCTCCTCTAAATAAAGGCATCGGTTCACATCTGATTGATTCTGAGCAACACTCAGAGCTGGTGCTCTGCAACAAAATGTCTGTATCTTCAGTTCAGAGACTTGAAAGCGATGGTGTGAATGTACGCATGTAGGCCGAGGGTGATGAGGCTCTCTGGCATGGAGGTGTTTTTACTGAGGTCACCCT